GCCCGATCCTTGGATGTGGGGCTGCCGGGGGTTCCCGAGCGGGAGGATGGGCCCATGTCGTTAGCACAGTGACCCCAGCTGGGTCCGAAAGACCTGGCGTGGCCTGGGGGATCTGGAGGTGGGCTGAGCGTCTGCCTCTGGCTTCCTTGTGACAGTGTGGGGCTCGGTGACGGACACCATGGCCTAGCCACTGGGACACCATCCACGGCTCCTGTCCTGGGCTGGGGACTCGAGACCTGGGCCCTCGGGGTGTCCTGAGTGATGAGAGTGTCCTTCATTGGGTCATGAGATGGCTGGGGTCCCTAGATAGCCGCAAAGTGGGGGCTGGTTACCAGAAAGACCAGGGCGCGATGAGAGCGTCGGCCCTTTCAGCCTGGGAAGGGAGAGGAGCTGTCTCTGGAGCTGATCACCAAAGGCCAATGACTTAATGAATGTTGCCTGATGAAGGTTCCATCAAAACCCTAAACCCAGGGCTAGGCAGGCTGCGTTGCTGATTGCAGGTCAGTGCTGTGGCTGGGTGCTGTGCCCAGGGCCCTGGGGGCTCCCTACCTGAAGGCAGTGCCATGGGTGAGTGGGCGCCCGGGGCCTGGAGGCTCCACCCCGGCCCCCTTACCTTGACCTAGGCACCTCTCCCTCTGGCTAGTCCTGAGTTGTGTCCTTTATAATAAACCCGTAATCAAGTGGGAAAGTCACTTCTGGAGTTCAGTGAGCTGTTGTAGCAAATTACCGAGTTGAGCAGGGAGCTGTAAGAACCCCTAATTCCTGGCCGGTCACACAGAAGTATGGAAGGCCTGGACTTGTGACTGGCGTCTCAGCTGGGGCGGCCCTGCGGGACTGAGCCCCTGGGCTGTGGGTCCGTGCCCGCACGGGATCGGTAGGGTCTGAGCTGCACTGAACTGCAGGACAGCTAGCTGGTGTCCAGAGCTGGAGAACTGGTTGGTGTCAGGAAAAACCCCACATTTGGTGTTACAGGTGGTGTGAGTAGTAACAGTTCGGACAGATAAAGCAGTTGCTGGGAGGGCCGTGCGTGCATCAGGGAGGAAAAGACTCGGGAGCCTGAGACGCCGCGGTTATGGGGGAGGGCGGCGCGACGGGTCCTCACTTCTAAAGCTAAACCTGGACTGCCCGCCCGACCCAGCCATCCACGTCTGGGCTGCTGCCCGGAAGAACTCAAAGTGGAGGCCTCGAAGGAATACTCGTACCCCAGAGTTCACAGCAGCATTTTCACAGCAGCCGGCAGGCGGAAGCCGCCCAGGACGCCCGTTCACAGGAGAATGGACGGTCCTCCCGAAGCAGAATATTACTCAGCCACGAAAAGGGAGGAAACGCTGGCGCCTGCCACAACCGCTCCAGGGTGTTTTGCTCAGTGAAATAAACCAGCCACGAGGGAGAAATGCCGTCCAGTCCACCTGGACGAGGCTGCCGCCATTGCCAAGTTCACAGACACCGAGTAGGATGCTGGGGTGGGGGGGTGGGTGACGGTGGATGCGGGCAGAGTCTCAGTTTGGGAAGATGGAAGTTCTGGGGCGCAGCTCCGCGGCTCACACCTGTAATTCCTGCACTTTGTGAGGTCGAGGGGGGCACATTGCTTGAGGTCAGGAGCTTGAGACCCTCCTGGCCCCATGGTGAAACCCCATCTCTACTGAAAATACAAAAGATAGCTGGTCATGGTGGCGTGCGCCTGTTGTCCCAGCTACGGGGGAGGTCAAGGCACGAGAATTGCCCGAAGATGGGAGGCGGAGGTAGCCGTGGGCCAAGATCACACCACGGCACTCCAGCCTGGGCGATAGTGGGAGACGCTCCGTCTCAAAACAAAAAGAAAAAAAAGTTCCGGGCGTGGATGGTGGTGACGGTCGCACAGCAGTGTGAATGCGCTGAGCTCTGCACAGCTGTCCCTCAGATGGTGAAAATGCTCAGCTTTACATTATGTGTATTTTTCCACAATTCAAGAAAATTTATTTTTATTATTATTTTTAAGTAATTAATTTATTTTTGAGACAGGGTCTCGCCCTGTTGCCCAGGCTGGAGTGCAGCAGTGCGATCTCGGCTCACTGCAACCTCCACTTCCTGGGTTCAAGCAATTCTCTTGCCTCAGCCTCCCAAGTAGCTGGGATTACAGGCACACACCACCATGCCAGGCTAATTTTTGTGTTTTCAGCAGAGACAAGGTTTCACCATGTTGACCAAGCTGGTCTCAAACTCCTGACCTCAGGCAATCCGCCCACCCCAGCCTCCCAAAGTGCTGGGATTACAGGTGTGAGCCACTGTGCCCAGCCAGAAAAAAAGAAATTTTTTAAAGGTCTGAATAATCAATGAGCCAAGCACAACTTTTTGTTAAGTTAGATGAAGAATAAACCCAGAGAAACGGAAAGCAAAGGCAGAATGAATGCGTAGGGTAATGAAACACAAGGTAAAGTCCTGTGACGAGGACCAGTACGCAGCTAGTATCAGAAGTGAGAAGGGGATGCCACGTTACGGCAGCCACGTCACGGCAGCCACGTCCTCCCTGCTGTGCCCAGGACTTGGGTTCCGGACTCAAGGCTGTCTGGAGTCCTGGGAAACCCCTGCCTCAAGCGCCCCAGCAAACAGGGACAGCTGGTTACCCCACGGCAGATCCTGCAGGCATCTGACAGGCAGGAAGAAGACATTGTGAGCAGCTTTTGCCAATAAATTCGAACATTTAGATATAATGGACAAATTCCTAGAAAAATAGCGTTAAGCAAAACTAAGCCAAGAGAACCGGAGTTGGAGGAGGCCCCGGCTCTGAGGTGACTGGGCCTTCCTGCGCTGGGCTCCTCGTCCGGGGCCTGTGCACCCGCCTTTCTCCATCGGCTGCGGGCTGGGTGCTGGAGATTCCGAGGACAGTCACACCCCCACCCTCGAGGCAATCACACAAATTCCCCCCACTTCATGTGTAATTTCAGGGGTCTTTGCACTCCCCAGGTCTGACTTGCTCACCCCAGGGTGGGGATTGATACTCTCCAAGCCTGCTCCCTCGCATGCATTCCAGCTCTGGGGCAGGGACATTCTGGGGTGGGGACATTCCGGGGCGGGGGCATTCTGGGGTGGGGGACATTCTGGGGTGGGAACATTCTGGGGTGGGGGCATTCTGGGGTGAGGGACATTCTACTGTGGGGGGCATTCTGGGGCGGGGGTATTCTGGGGTGGGGGGCATTCTGGGGCAGGGCGTTCTGGGGTGGGGGCATTCTGGGTTGGGGGCATTCTGGAGCAGGGGGTATTCTGGGGTGGGGGACATTCTGGAGCGGGGACATTCTGGGGTGGGGGCATTCTGGGGTGGGGCATTCTGGGGTAGGGGTATTCTGGGGTGAGGGTATTCTGGGTTTGGGGCATTCTGGGTTGGGGGACATTCTGGGGTGGAGGACATTCTGGGGCGGGGGCATTCTGGGGCAAGGGCATCCTGGGGTGCTATGCAAAGGTTGCTGGGGGCTTCCAGAGGAGGGGAGAGCAGCTGTGGCTGGAGGGAGACGGATGTCAGAGAGGGTCCTCGGGCCCGGGAAGCATGCTCACCCTTCATCCAGAGCCACCACCCCTGGTCACGGGGGAGGCTCCTGCATCCTCCAGCCATAGCCGTCCCCAGGCCCTGCCATCTCCCAGGCCATAGCTGGAGGGGGGAGGGTTCCCATGGTTCTGCCGCCGTCTGGACAGCTGATCTGGGCATCTGGCGCCTGCCTGCTGCCTGCTCACTCTCGGGTGTTGGCATCAAGATCTCAATCACCACAGCGAAAATAACAGGTGTCAGCCAGGCAGGCAGAGCTGACCTCACTGGGGCCTTTGGGGCTTCCGGATGAGATTCCCCAGGGACAGTGGGAATTGGGGGGCAGGCAAAGCATCCCTCAGCCGAATTAGCAAAGCACCAGTGTCACGCCACTGCCTGTTGCCAGCGCTGGCCTGAGTTTCCTGCTCAAAGCAGCCATTAGCTGCAGCAGCTCAGACAACCCTTCAGCCTCGGCTCTCCTGACACCCGCGGGGTGGGAATCCTCACAGGGCCCAGGGTCCGGTAACCCGCCGTGTGCCGGCCTCTTCTCTCCAGCCTCCATTCACCAGCCCTGCTCTCAGAATTGCAGCCGACACCCAGGCGGGCCTGGTCGAGCTCCAGGTGGGGGAGGTGGGGTTGCCCCAGGGCACCTCTGCCTGCGGCATCGCCTGGTTCAGACATCCTGCCCTCGCCACCTCCCACCCCTGTGTGCACACCTGCCCCTACCCCGGTACTGGGCCACCTGAGGCACCGTGACTGTCCCTGACCTGCATTGTTTGGGTAGGGCCATGCCAGCCTGCGTGGCAGTTTTGAGATGCTGAGAGCTGGGTTAACAAGCCACACCGATTAAGCCAGTTTGTCAGGGGCTCCCTGGGATCAGCTGGAGGTAGGGCTGCCTGGCTGCGGTGGCCGGGAGCAGCAGGTGACGTCGGTGCAGGGAGGACAGATGTGTGAGGTCTGCGGGGTGAGGCCACAGGCTGGGCTCTAGGTGGGCTCTGGGAAGGAGGGAGGGGAGGGGACAGGAGCACGGACAATTCCCAGCCACTGTTGTCACGCACGGGGTGCTATGAAGACACAAGCAGAACATCTGGAAGCACAGAATACTCGCCGGGCCTAAGCCACGACGGGAGCCCCGCCCACGGAGGCCCCACTGGCCCCCACGCTTTGCTGTGGGAGGGCAGTGAACGAGGTCCAGAGTGTCGGTGCTGGGGGCTGTTTGCCCCCCACCCCAGTGTGCAGCCTGCAAACCTGTACCAGGGACACCGACCTCCTGACACCCCCAGGCGGCGGCCGCCCGAGCTCTCTCCCCAGGCTCTGGAGCTCCCGCGTGTGCGGTGTGCCTGCATTGCACTGTCAGGGCCTGCACGCTCCAGATGAACTCGTGAGCAGGCGGAAGGTGCCCCGGGAGCCAGCACGCTGCTGCCTGGCCACCCCCTCTCTGTGCCGCATCCCTTCCTGGTGGCGGGCTCTCAGGAGGTTGCAGGGAAGCAGCCGCCCCACTGACCTGGATCACGGCGTCCAGCCCCAGTGGGGGCTGCTGGGAGGCGTCCCCGCTGCCATGCTCACTGGAGGCCGAGCTCATTGCAGCCGAGCGCTGGACCCCAGAGGAGGCCAGCTCTGCTCTCCGGCACGGCTCCTCCGACTGGCCAGGACCTCCTAGTTGCCCAGGCCCCGCACCTGTGTGGCCCCTGGCTCTGCAGTCCCGAGCCTGGGCACCCAGCTGCCCTTGCCCTGTGGGTGAGACAGGGTGGCCAGCTGAGCCCATAAGCGTTGCTGTGGCAACCGGGACGCCGAGAGCTGGGTCTCCCTGGAGACAGGAGTGTGGAACGCTGTTGGCTGGAAGCGGTTTTCCCTGGAGACCTGGAGACGCCGGGGTGAAGCTGTCTACCTGAGCAACGGCACTGGGAGGGGCTGGCCTCTCCCCAGGCACCCCTCCCACGTGCACTGCAGGGGGAGCTGTGTGCTTGCTGGGCTCATGGCAGGCAGGGGCAGCAGGTGGCCACTGTCTCCCTGGATCTGCACTCAGGAACTATGACTTTTTAAAAACATTTGTCAAAGAATGGAGGGATCGTCACAGGTGGTAGACTGAGGCCTGAGGAGGGAGGCTGCTTGCCCGAGGGACAGAGGGACGTCATCTTTCTGGCCTTGTGCCTGGAGCCCGCCTGGAGTCCAACTTCCTGCCAGAGCGTTTCAGAGGCACCTGCACAGACATGCTGGCCACTGGGCACCCACACAGCCGGGCACCCACACAGCCGGGCTCCCACGCAGCTGGGCACCCACACAGCTGGGCATGGGCATCTTTTCCTGTCTGGCACCTGCAGGGGATGTGCCTTGGACAGAACCCAAAGAGACTGTGACTCAGGGCGGCCCCAAGGAGCCACTCCTCCTAGTCACTGGCTGTCCAGGTGTGGACTTGGCTCTGAGGAGGAGGCACGGGTCCCGGGGGGCACAGAGTCACCAAATGAGCCAAGTCTGATGGACGGCAGGAGAGATCCCAGGGTGATTACGGCAGACGGGCAGCCCTGGAGGCCGGGAGGCTGGGGCACAGGGCGCCACGTCTGTCCACCCCACCCGCTCCTGCGGAGTCGCCCTGCACATGAACTGTCTTCAGAGGACACGGAAGTGCCACCCTGTCCGGCACACAGCAGCTGCATGGCACCATCCCACTCCCATCTGTTGGGCACGGGCAGGAGGCCGGCTGAGGGCAGGGGTGGAGGCTGGCGGGGCAGGTGGCGGATGCTGGAGGTCGATGCATGTGGTGTGATTTTCAAAGTCTCTCCCACTCACCTGAGAGGAGAGGCCAGCTGGACACATGTACCGGGTTTTAGGGGGATCCAGATGCTTGGGGGGGCGGGTAAGTGCTGAGAGGTTCTGTGGGGTGGGAGAAGGGACCCTGCTCCCCTCCCACCCCATGTTTATCCATGGGAGGGGTTGCCGGTCGATGCTGCCATGGGCAGGCCCTGGGGTCCTGGGTCCTGGGAGGGGCTGCAGGGCTGGCTTGGGATCCCACCCTCTGGTGCTTTCTGCACAGTGAAGAAAGAAGCCGAGGGAAAGGCCCCTGCCTGGGTACCGGAGGGGCTCAGGGCTACCGCCCTGCCCAGGAGTCCAAAGGGAAGAGCCCAGGCCATAACGCACTTAGAAGAAAACGCAGGGAAAAGCTTCGTGGTGCAGGATTCAGCGGCGACTTCTTGGATGTGGCATCAAATCCGCAGACAATGAAAGAAACAGATAAATTGAGCTGATTCTGAACTTAAAACTTGTGTATCAAAGGAGGCTATTTAGAAAGTGAAAACCCGTGGAATGGGAGAAAATATTTACCAACCTTCTATCTGACGGGGTTAGCATTCAGAATGTGTAAAGAATCCTGGCCATGTGTAGCGGCTCACCCCTGTAACCCCAGCAGTCTGGGAGGCTGAGACAGGTGGGTCACCTGAGGTCAGGAGTTTGAGACCAGCCTGGCCAACATAGCAAAACCCTGTGCCTACTAAAAAAATTCAAAAACCTTAGGCGTGGTGGCGTGTGCCTGTAATTCCAGCTACGAAGGAGGCTGGGGCAGGAGAATTGCTTGAACCCACAAGGCAGAGGTTACGGTGAGCCGAGATGGTTCACTGCACTCCAGCCTGAATGAAAGTGAGACTATCCAACAAAAAAAGGCAAAGAATCCCTATAACCCAGCAACAAGAAAACAAACAGCACAATTAAAAATGAGCAAAAGGCCGGGCGCGGTGGCTCACGCCTGTAATCCCAGCACCTTGGGAAGCTGAGGCGGGCAGATCACAAGGTCAAGAGATCAAGACCAGCCTGGCCAACATGGTCAAACCCTGTCTCCACCAAAAATATAAAAATTAGCTGAGCGTGGTGGCTGGTACCTGTAGTCCCACCTGCTCAGAGGCTGAGGCAGGAGAATCACTTGAACCCAGGAGGCAGAGGTTGCCGTGAGCAGAGATTGCGCCACTGCACTCCAGCCGGCGACAGAGCGAGACTCTGTCTCAAAAAACAAAACAGAAACAAAAGAGCTCACAAAAGAGCAAAAGACTTGAACAGACGTTTCTCCAAAGAAGAGACACACGCAGCCAAAAGGTCTGTGAAAAGACACCCAGAGAAACCTCATCAGAGAAATGCAAATCAAAACCACAGTGAGTCACCATCTCACAACCCCGGGGACGGCTCTTGGGAAGAAAGCAGAGGAGGAGCGGGGGGAGGACGTGGGGAAGCCGGGGCTCTTGTGCTCGGTGGTGGGGACGGTATGGCAGACGCTCAGAAAATTGGAGTTCCCATATGATCCAGCAACCCACATCTGTGCATATACCCGAAGAATGGAAAGCAGAGACTCGAAGAGACGCCCAGACCCCGTGTTCACAGCAGCATTTGTGCCACCGCCGATGGCGGAAGGAGCCCAGGTGTCTGCCGACAGGTGACTTGTAGTGGCGAGATCCCATAAGCGCCGAGGCAGGAGCAAAAGGCCTCAGCCTATTTCCATATAAATAATGAAGAACGTAACCAGAAATAAAACCTTAGTCGTTATTAGCTATTCGTGCGTGACCTTAGTTACTCATAGGTGATCTTAATTCTTTTAGTAATGCCTCTCAGGCCGGAAGTGTGAACCTGGGGTGACACTGTGAAATGAATGACCCTGAGACGAGATGTTCTCAGCCCTCTGTCACGCCCGCACAAGGGCTTCTGGAGGGCGCCTCGGCTGTGGAAAGCACCCCAAAGCTGTTTAGCCAGCTGGGGGAGGAGAGGTCCAAGATGACCGAGACATCGCCTTCCTGGGGAGGTCAGGAGAAAACGCCGCTCCTCCAAGCTCTTGTGGTCGGCCTGACGGCTGTCAGGAGGCCCGCAGACATCCGGGGGCTTAACTGTCCCTATGTGAGGCTGTGCGTGAGCGGTCACGTTCCACGTCCACTCTCACGTTCTGCTTCTGCACCTGGTTCCTTTTTTCTTAGAAGAGAAAATCGGTTATAGTAATACAAATCTCAGTGTTTTAGTTCTTTCTCGGTAAGATGGAAAAGGTGCTGATGCGTGATGCTCCTTACCTCACTTCGGGTGCCAGAAATTCCTGAGCCCCTACCTGAATGACGCGTGATGCACCTGACACTACCACTGCCACGCCCCATCCACCTGCCCCCAGTCTCCGACCACCGAGGCCACGCCCCACCTACCCTGCCCCCGGATTTGCAACTCAAGGAAAGTGAGAGCGACCCGGCGCTCGGGGCCACTGCTGGTCTCGGAGATCTGGGCAGCAGTGGACCCCTGGGCCCAAACTCTCTTTTCTCTATCTCTGTGTCTTGTGTCTTTTATTTCTACAATTTCTTGTTTCCTCACCAGCCGGGAGCGGCTCACAGAACCGTGTAGGGCTGGACCCTATGGTGACGGATACACAAAATGAGGTCCATCCCCACCGTGGGACGTTGCTGGGCCTTTGAAGGGAAGGAAACTCTCACACGTGCCACAGTCTGGAAGGTCCCTGAGGACACAGTGCCAATGGAGCAAGCGAGTGCTAGGGCCAGCGCTTGCCTGAGGTCCAGGAGCATCCGTGCCCTGGAACCAGGAGGTGGAGTGGCAGCACCAGGGCTGGGGCAGGGGCGGGAGTCGGTGCTGAACGGGCAGAGCCTCGGTTTGGAAGACGAGACCAGCTCTGGAGACCGACGACGGTGACGATAGTCACACCAGCACCTTGGCGTGAACGTTCTTCACGGCGCTGAGCCGCACACTTAAGCGTGGGTCAGACGGTAAAAGGTATGCTTATTTACCAAAATGTAAAAAAGTAAACTCCAACGAGCAAGCAAAGCAAAACAAGAACCCACTGTGGCCAGCGCCTGGGGAGACCTAGAGTCCCTGCCCGGCTGCCATTTCCTGGGAGCTGGGGCCCGTGGCCTGGCCTGAGCCGGTGCCTGGAGCCCCGCGTGCCCAGGTGAGTGGCCCCCACGCCCCTGCCCCTCTCTCACACTGCCCTCCACCCGCCCTGTGCCGGGAAGCTTCCCTCTCCCCAGGGCCCCTGCCCACCCGATCGGGGCTGGGCCTCCCTCCAGCCTCCTTCCTGCCTCAGAAGGATGAGTTCACACCAAGGTCCGCTCCCCACTGACTTTTCCGGGGGAGGGATTGGCCCGCTCAGCTCCTCAGGGTGGTCGCAAGTAGCAGGAGCCCATGACCCGCAGACGCGTCGCCCAACCCCGCCCGCTCACCCCTTGTCCGACTGCTCCCAGCTGAGCACGGCCCAGCCCTCTACGCCCACCTGGGGCCGAACTGCCCGTCACCTCCTTCCTGCCCCGGGCCTGGTCCCCTGTGTAGGAGCCACAGAGCAGGGCTCCCAGAGGAGCGGGCTCCCCACCGCACAGCGTCCGAACCCTCCCTCTGCCCCAGAGGGAGGACAGCATGGGGGACCCCGGGGGCTGCCTGCAGAGGCCCCTCCACTGAGCGGTGGGAACGACAGCCGGGGCAGAACGTGACTCCTGAGCACTGCCGAACGCTCCCGGCCTGTGACCTGGTGGAGAGGCCTTCAGGAAAGTGTCAGGGAGCGAGAAGCCGTCACAGCTCAGAGGCTCTTTGCACCAAGCGCGGTGGGTGCTGTGGGCTCAGGAGCAGTCTGCAGTCTGCTAAAGGGTTGGCGAGTGAGTCAGCCGAGGCTGGGCCTGCGCGGGCAGCTGCTTAGACGCACGGGGGCTGCCGGGGCAGGACGAGGGTGAGGGGCGAGGGTGAGAAATGCAGCATTTGGGGGGCAGGCGGTCTCTTCCTGTGGTCTCCGCAGGGAAAATGCCCTCCCGAGTGA